GACTATAAAATAYGGGGGCTGGGGATGTGGCTCAAGTGGTAGCGCGCTCGCCTGGCATGCGTGCGGCCGGGATTCGATCCTCAGCACCACATACCAACAAACATGTTGTGTCCGCCAAGAACTAAAAAATAAATATTAAAAATTAAAAAAAAAGATGATAAAATATGAAAATGAGAGATTTTATGTTAATATTAAAATAACGTTTTGTACAAACATTACAATATACTAATACCACTTTCCAGATCACAACAGCCCTAAGGTCCTCCCTTCTTAATCACAACTCCCTCCCACCCAATTAAAGGTAACCCCTACACCAACTTTACTGGGGACTTTACTGGGGACTGAACTACATTCCCAGCCCCTTTTTTCCCCCCATATTTATTTATTGGTACATTACAGTTGAAAACACTGATGGTATTTGTTGCATATACACAATATACAATATAACAATATAATTTGGACAATATCACAGCCCTTTTTATTTTTGAGMCATGGTCTCACTAAGTTGCTAAGGCTGGGCTGGAACCTGTAATTCCCCTGCTGAGGTGGAAGACAGGTTAAGAGTATGTGCCACCACGCCCAGTTACACTGGCTTTTATAGTAATTATTTCATCGCTTTACATTATRTGTTTTTTGTTTGGTTTTTACCAGATTCATATGTCTCTAAACCTACAACTTAGTTCTGAATATTTTTGAACTTTATTACTAATGCAGAAAATACATACAAACACACACATAATCTGTTTCCTTCACTTTGGCCATGAAAATTTTTAATAGCCTTTTAAAGACAATACCTCAATTTCTCTACACTCCAAGGACTCTCCCTTATTTGCTATAAACATTCAAGTAGTAATAATAATAAGTTGCCAAAATCTTATAAGACTCTTATTATGTGGTGTGTACTATTCRTGTTTTATGTGTATAAACTCATTTAATCACCAAAATAACACGGATAGGTTTTAATGTTATGCACACTTAATAATCGGGGAAAATAAGCACAAAGAGATGAATTAACTCCTAAGATCATACCTCAAGTGATGGGGAGCATTCAAACTATGCTGCCTTGCACCCAAGTCTATGCTTTTACCATCATATGAAAGCTATTAATAAAGGAAAATTAAAATCTTACATTGATGGGGCTGGGGTTGTGGCTCAGTAGAAGAGTACTTACATAGCACACATGAAACACTGGGTTCAATCCTCAGCACCACATAAAAATAAATAAATCAAAGAAAGGTACTGCATCCATCTACAACTAAAAAGCTTTTTAAAAATAACATTTGTTGGGCTGGGAATATAGCTCAGTTGGTAGAGTGCTTGCCTCCCATGCATAAGGCCTTGGGTTCAATCCCCAGAACCATGAAGGAAAAAAAAATCCTATCATTAAAATTAAAATAAAAACTGTATGACAAGAGAATATCAGAGTGAGAGAGATTTTAGTGTCTCATCCTCCTCCCAAACAGTTTAGCAGCTATACCAAAGATAATCTACTTTGGGTACATGCCTGTAAAGACATATATAAGACAAGAATTCCAACATAGTTGTTAAATGTCCTATAATGAACTATATGGGCCAATGTTAAGTTCTGTCTTAGCTCTGTAATTTACTTAATAAAAAATTCTGGGCCTTGAATAAGTAAAGATTTATTTTTAAATTAAGGCCTCTATTAAGTTCAACATCTCAACACAACCTCAATAGTAATAAGGTTACTACTGAGCTGGTCCYTTCTGAGACATGTTTGAGAACTAGAGTATAATCAACAGCAGTTTCTAATCCAGTCCTGTTATTTTATGTCTAAGCACACAGGAACCCAGAGGAGTACTTACTTATCCAGCATGACATACACTAGTTTGTGGTAGTACTAGGGAAAAAGTCCAAGGTCTTCTGACTTTTTTGTTTTTATTTATATATATATATATCAGCAATCTAGTTACAAAGGCTGCCAAGCAACTTAAGCCACCATTGCAAAAAATACTTCTCAATAACTGCGCCTTTCACCCATGTTCTTTCCTTTTCAGAGAAAATCTAATAACGGTAATATTGAGATTCCTTTTTCAACAAGTATTCTACACTTACTATGTGCCCAGCATTGTTCTAGGCACAGCAGTTTACGCAGGATATTCTGCATAGAACATGAAAATAATTAATCCAGCATTAAGTTTACAGTGTAAAGATTTGGGGTATGAAATACACCTATGTAACAAAATGCCCGAAAGAAAATTTTAATTTCCAAAAGAGGTAATTAAATAAAAGGGTTGTGGGCATAATTTGAATAACTAGGACTATGAGAAGAAATGTAGGRTAATATCAGGCATAACAAGGTGAGAATGGCAAAAAACAAAGAACGGACATAAGAGTATATAGGACTTGCTTGATGAACAGTAGCTAGTTAGTTCAACTGTTAACCATGGTAGGAGGCATTCTGAAGAAATATTGCACATTCTAGGCTAAAATATTCAAATTTAGTTTTAATTCAGTGAATATAGTGATCTACTGAACATTTGGGGGAAAAATTGACAAAACTGGGACTGCATTTAAGATTGACTTAGAACAAGGAAAGAGTCTGTGTTTTTACCACCTTATGAAAGTTATCAATGAAGGAAAAATATAAAATCTAACACTGATGGGGCTGGGATTGTGGCTCAGAGGTAGAGTACTAGATAATTAGTCCAGCTCTAGAGATAATATGAGACTGAACAAAGGTAAAAGCAGGTATGAAAAGCATTACAGAAGGAAAAATGGTATGTCCTGCAATTGACTGCAGAAGAGGAGAAAGAAAATGTGGATGGAGCCTGATGGGAAAAAACTARGATACAATGATACAGACACAGGTAATCTAAGCTATAGGCTGATCTAGATATAACCTATGTACCATCTAAATCTAAGGGGAAAATACATTAAAAATCTTATTCTATGTCAGAAAAGCAAAACTTTCTATTAATACAAACAAAAATGATTTGCAAACTTAGTATAAAAATACTCAAAATTAAAGCAGTGTAATTTGAAAATTGCATGCTCTTCATACATAATATACTTGCAAAGATATACATAAGCCATGTTTTTACTAAAATACACATAGCAAGCCTTGGCATTTTAAAAGGCTAGGTATACACTACACATTGCAATAATATTTAACCACCTCAGAAAATTATTTAATGATCAGTAGCAAAATGCAGCTCCTAAGTGTTAGCAAACAAGAACTACAACTGATCCATTATGTAATCACAAACTATCAACTGGTTCAGTTAGGTAACTGATGCTCAGAGTTTGGAAAATCAATTTCTTCTGATTACATAAAATCCATATGGTTTTTCTGCCTAATAGTTAATAAACTGAGCTCCTCAAGAGTAGAGTTTGTGTTCTAGATGCTCTACATCCTTAGTGCTGAACACTTAAGAGACCTTTGATAAACGGAATAAACAAAATTCATCCAAGGAATGTTTTCCAAGTATATACCACTTTCATAACTTGGTGAGTATTACACAACAGCAAAGAACTAAAATCCTATAGTAAGTGCCTACTATTCAACAGGTAATAGGAATTACAAAATGACGAATACATTCCTCCTCCCTTGAATTTGGGATTTCTTTATCCTAACAAGTCAAAAACCATGGGCTTCAACAGAAAACCTTGACTCACACTATATGTGTGACCATCAGTGAGTCTCTTAACTTCTTTAAGCTTCTGGTTTCTCATCTGAAAGAATKGAGAGGATCCAACAGAAAAGAAAGATGAGAGAACTTTGTAAAATATGATGAGTATTATGTATGCCAGTTGGCTTTCTACAGCATTTGCCACACACTGATCAGACACTTCATGAGGAATGATACTGACATAACAAATACAAGCATTTGGCTGGCTCAACACAAAGCCACCACACCATCCTACCACCACCTGGAAAAACCCTCAAAACAAACAGAACTCCACACTTGTAGGCTAGAACTAGGATTTTGGTATAAGAACAATATAATCTAGAAAAAGAATATATAAATTTTCACTAGACCAATTTTTAAAAATCAAAAATCTATGTCACAATTTCTCTGACTTTTGTTTGGAAATTTCCTACTATAATTCAAGACACAGAATACCATTAAAACAGAAACTTTAAATTTTATTTTTGAACAAGGAAGTAATGTAACTACTATATTGGAAATAATGCCTCCGCCACCTCAAACAATCATTGAAACAGTTTCAAAATTTTAGATCAACTTTTGAAATAAATTAATAAAACTTGGGGGGATTTATTCAACTGACCAGTTTTTAACTGTCCAAGAAAATAGTATATTTCCCAGAAGACAAGCCATATATTCCCACCATTTCCTCAAGCACCTAAAAGAATCCTCACAAGAATAAATAATTCAAGCCAGCATTTCTTCACAGAACAGCCAACTAATACCACACTCCCAAAGTACAAAAAGTTCAAAAGAACCTAAAAATCTTCCCATAAATAAAAAGKGCTACCAAGAATGTTTCTGAGTTAAATTTGATGGCATCTACTTCCACTTAATTATCCAAAGACAACATACAAACATGAAAATCCACCATCTTTTATTTGGTATGTGGAATTTATATGACAAGGAAATCTCTATCCTATTAACTTCAGAGCTTTCTTACAACAGTTTTGGGGGTGTGTGTGTGTGTATATATAAATAAATAATTTACTGCTTCCATTTCAAGTCAGGATAAAAATAATTTTTTAAAGGCACAAATAAAAAAGTTAAGACTATCTTCCAGAAAGTTGACTTTTAAAACTTCTTTCATTTCTTGTGCAATAAACACAAAATATTCTTTTTTTTTTTTCATAATCTTCGTTCATTTTGTTTTTTGGTGCTGGGGATCAAACCCAGGACCTTGTGCATATAAGGCATGCACTCTACCAACTGAGCTATATCCCCAGCCCAYAAAATATTCTTAAATTACAACAGGCTCAGGTTCAAATCTTTCAGTAATCAAGATTAAGATTCTATATTCAAATTTTACATTATTAAACACTTTCTTACCTTCTGCTACATCATCATCAACTGCTCCTTTCACCTGAGAAAAACACCACTGAATATCATTCCCTCCTCCAGCTCCTGGAAAAAGAAAACATACCAATTAAATTGAGTTCAGTTCATGTTTACTCTCATAAACAGAGAGATAGTATCCATGGTTGGCATGATCCTAACAGCCTAGTACTGCCCACACTCACAACCACCACCAAGCACACCAATTTGGAAAACTCCCCAATAATTGGAAGTGCATTAAAAACAAGATTCCAAGTATGAAATATTTAAAGGCGTACATTCTATTGTTATTGTACATATGTTCAAAACTTCTCTTCCACTTTCCCTTCTCCTTGAATACAGAGGAGTCTTACATTCAAGCAAGACCTACCAGAAAAAAAGTAAATACCAAAGTTAGAGTTTTTCTTTAGTGTACAAAAAGCCTGCAGAAGCATTATTAAAGTTAAAATACCATGAAACATAGAACGAAGAGAAAACTTCGGAAACATTACTGTCTTATTGTGGAGTAATGATTCCTATAAACCCTATTGCCCAAAACCTGCACACCACAAACATAACACCCATTTATTTGCATTCATTACCAGCAAATCACTGGCTCCAAACAGAGGAAAAGGAACAGAAATGAATGCTGAAGAGACTGTCAAAGGAAACTTGTTCTGCTTTCCCTTCACTTCATCCCTCAGAATCCAAAGACCTGGCAAACAATTCTTTTCGCTAATTTGTCATCATCTTGTGCAAAACAATTTTAATCTCATTTAGTTATTCAACAAGGTCAAAGAGTAACTTATTTATAGCAAACTGTAAATCAACTCATCATGTTAACTTTTGTAAAGGTACCATTATCTAATCTAAATACTACAAAAAGCAGAGAAAGTTAGTTTAATATCGATTTCACTTTAAGCTTTATAGAAAAAATGGTGAAAATGTCCTGGATGTATGAAGGATAAAACTAAACTAAACCTATAATTGATTCAACTAGTTAAAGGAAGATATTGGCCAAAAATGTACAAAAATAATCCTCAAAGCGATTACCTCCTCTTCCTTCAATCTCATTCCTTGCTAAATATTTCCAACCTGGTTTTCTCTACACGGTTTTTTTTTTTTTTGCGAGGTTTAACGAAATCTCTCCTTTAGGCTATTTATATCACTGAACTCCACAACTATTTAACTAACTCTACGAAACCCTTCTGGGAAAAGGACATTTGCACAAAAGCTAACATGCAAAACGCAAAGTTTAAACTACGTCCTYCGTGCAACTCGCTGTATGTTAAAGGCCTTGCACCCTTTGGTCATAAAGGATAAGGGGGAAAAAAAGGGGGGGGGAATGGTTCGCAGCAAAAAAAATTCCCCCTCAAAATAGAGACGAACCCACCGTGGGAGGAAAATACGTACATGCCTCCATTGTATTTTAACTTGTGAAGCGGTCTTCCTTCTCAGTGTAGAATATATTTGTCTATAAACCCAAGGAGGCTGCTTGCAGCAGGGGGAAAAATAGGAATTATACGAAGGAAGATCCGCAAAAAGAGCTGGGGGCAGGGTGGCAGAGGATACGCCGGGCTCCCGAGCCGTGGGGACAAATCTGCACGCCCCACCCACGCCTCGCCCCACCGCCGCCGGCACACACCCCACCCCCACCCACGCCCATGCCAAGGTTCCAACCCTCGTTTTCAAAGCCGTTCCCACCTCCCGGGGACCAGCGCCTCCCCGCCCCCACCCCACCCCGCTTGACCAATTCCCCGAAATCTGAGGGGCGCCGGTGGCTGCACGAGAGGCGCGGCGGTCGCTAGGGGGTGATGGAGGGAGGAGGGAGGAAGCGGCGCCTTGTCAGCGGGCGAGGGCGATTTCTCCTTTACCTGCCATGTTGCACAGCAAATGGTGACCCTGCTGAGTGGCTCCGGGTCTCCGCTTCCTGAACTCACCCCCCTCACCTGGGGATGGGGGGGTAGAGAGGGCGGATGGCGGCGGATGGCACCTGTGGGGGGAGGGGGCGGGGGCCGGGGGAGAAGGAAGGAGGGGCGGGCAAACCAGCCAGCGGGATGGTGGGTTTCACTCTGGGGCTTCCCCGTTCGTGCTCCTTCTCCCGCAGCGGCGGAGGCTACGACAGCGACGGCGGCGGCGGCAGCGGCAGGCGACTCCACTTTCAAAATGGCGCCGGCTGGCCTGGCCAGTGACGTCACCCGGAGGCGGAGCCGCAGGCTGGGCGGAGGGGGCGGGGAGCGGCCGCGCGGGCTCCAGGCCACGCCCCCTTCCTGCCGCGCTCTGGACCCGCCCCCTGCGTCCCCGCCTCCCCGCCTGCGCCGCGCCCGGGCCTGCGAAGCTGGTAGCTTTTTGCGGTTCCTGCGCTCSGCTCACTGCTGGAACGGGTCCGCTGCGGGTCCGCACCTCCGCACGCTGTCCCGAGACCTCGCGCAGTGCCGGAACCTGGAGCCGCCTCAGCTATCCAGTTAACGTGCTCGCCCGCGGGCTCCGTGGGACCCTGAGTCTTTTTAGAGAATACCCGTATTGCTCCTTGAGAAAATGACGCTACGGGTGAGCCCCGAAGCCACTGCCTAAAGGGACTGTGGTGCAGACTCGCTGCCCGGCCAAGGTGAAAGTTCACAGAACTTGAAGGACTTAGCTGGGCTGATTCCATCTGGGTGAATTAAATGACCTTTCATGGGCTCCGGGAATCAAAGCGAGAGGCTCTGGCAACTGCAAGCAATAAGAATGGCTCCTAAGAGAAAACTGGGTTTGTTATGAGCAGTCTGGCTGAAGAAGTGGCCCAGGTCTGTCCAGCTAAAAGTGGTAAAATCAGCAGTTAAGACCTGGGCCCTGAAGCGAGGCTGCTAAATGCTGACTTCAGGGTCTGTGAGAGAAGAATCCCTGTGTGCCAACATTACTAGATTTGGAGTCAAAGAATCTGCAATAGAATTAAGAGTAAAAGGTGGTAAAAATACCAGACATTGGCCAACATGGGATGTGCACTTGGTTGAAAGTTGCTCTAATGGTGCAGCTACTGTAAACTTTACATATCTCATTTAATCTCCACAATACCATGAAACAGATAACCACGTTTTACACACTTGCAGAACATTTTCAAAAACATTCAGAATTTGACCTTGAAGCTGAATGGAGTGATAAAGGCATTCAGAGACCAAGAAGATGAAGTTTTAAGATATTTACACCTCTCCATTATCCGCACTTGCCACCTTATTCTCCATCCCCAGAATTTTTCAACTGTAAAACAATTTTTGAGATTCCTCCACAAGAAACAGCTGTACTTTTTTGTCCCATGGACAATTTATTGGGTTTTTTCCCCCAGCCTTTCTTGCCACCCTTTCCATTTCCTTTGCTGGTTTCTCCTGTTGGGCCACCCTTTAAATGTTAGGGTGATCTGTTTCCATGGCCCCTGCCCTGGGCACCCTTCTCTAACTACTCATTTTCCTRGTCAACTTCATTTGGTCTTACACATGCAAATACCATATAATACCAGTTATACACCAGTCATTGCCAATTTTAGATCTCCAGAGTTCTGCTCACCCTGGAACTGCAGAATTACACTTCTGCCTGCCCACTTAACATTTCTGCAGATGTCCAATAAGCATTTCAAACATGTCAGAACACACATGTTGCTTTCATACCCACTCCACACCATGGCTGATGCTGTCCCTCTCCCTGAAACACTGTTCACCTGCCACCCTTGTCCCAACATATCCATCATTCTTTCCTTCCTGGGCCAATAAAACTCCTGATTCTTTAAACAACAAGAACTCCAGCAGGAGCAGCAACAGCAGCAAACAGTTTGAAGGAGAGGTACAAAAGATTAAGGACAGACTTTAAAATTAAAAGTTAAAAAGTAAAAAAACCAATGTGGACATAACTTTCTCCAGGAAGATTTCTCTGACATTTTTTCTTATTCCCTACTCACCTTAAGCTGGGTTGGATGCCCTTACTAAAAGACGTATAAAATCGAACACACTTCTCCTTTTCTGGATCTGTTAAAATGATCTAAAAACATGTATGTTGTTACTCTGAATTGGTTGAGGGTAGGAAAAATGTCATTCATCTCCATTCTCCAGCTACATAATTCGTTGTATTAATGAATGAATAAATAAATCTCTCTGGCTTGGGAAGAAAATGACTGAAATGTAGGCTCCTTAAAGCTTGCCATATCATAACCGTTTTCACTCACCCTTCTTAACTCTGGAAGAAAGAGGCATTTTACAAATGATCTTGATCATCTCATCTGCATTTATTAGGCAGCAGTTGGTTAAATATGTAAGTTGCTTATACATAGGTTTGTTCCAGTTACTTCTAACTGGGTACTTCTAATTGGGTTTTTGTCCCTTGAACATTTTTTTTTTTTTTTTTTTTGGTGCTGGGATTGAACCTTGTGCATGCGAAGCAAGCACTCTACCAAATGAGCTATGTCCCCAGCCCCCTTGAACAAATTTTTTTTTTTTAAAGAGAGAGTGAGAGAGGAGAGAGAGAGAGAGAGAGAGAGAGAGAGAGAGAATTTTTAATATTTATTTTTTAGTTCTCGGCGGACACATCTTTGTTGGTATGTGGTGCTGAGGATTGAACCCAGGCTGCACGTATGCCAGGCGAGTGTGCTACCACTTGAGCCACATCCCCAGCCCTGAACAAATTTTTTTAACAGGATTCCATAGGACATGCATTCATCCACATGCTATAATGCAAGCTTTGTTTCATGTGAGGCTCTAGCTATAACCTAAACACAGGACCACATGGAAGACACACAAAATAATGGTTTCCTGCAGAACGGGGCTTCATGTAGGCACATCAAGGGGGAAAGTCCCTGTGGATTTTCCTGGTGAGATCCAGGAGCACTTGTAAGTCTCGGTGATATTCTGCTTGGGTTCTGATTTAAGAGGCACTAAAGGAATCTACAATATCAGCAGCAGAACAGAATTAACAGGTCTTACCATGGGTTATTGCAARATGGACTTTCAAAGTATATTAAACACCCAGAGGAGAATCCCTTAAGAGTTATTCTTTGCCATGACGAAGCATATTTGGAGTTGATAGGGACACAAACCCTCTTCCAAACTCAATGAGAAATGGCACCATTTAGCAGCCTCTGTCCTCCAGGCAGTTAGACAAAGGGTTATCCAGGAATGACCATGAACTCCAGGGTAAGAGGACACACCCCTGTTAGAGATAGATGTGGTTTAGAATTGTGGCAAACTCACCGCAGCCATGCCTTGTAACCTGAAGCAGTTGCAAGGGCTCCACAGGGAAATGATAAGCCGTTGTCAGCTTTTTACATAATAGTTATGAATTTTATTTAGAAGACAATTTCCCAAAACTTTGCATATCTAGACTCTACTGATAACTCAAACTGTGATGTTCAAGGCATAGAACCCACTATAAAATCACCGATAGCCTACACATGTTTAACAAAAAAAAATGATAATGAATCTAGGAGGATAATTATGTCGTCAAAATTTGTAAAAACAGAGGAAGTTATTTGTGCCTCAGAAGCAGGGTACAAAGTGCAGATACAATATGGTCACAAGTATGTACAATAAACACCAAGAATTTGTAAAGTTAAAAAGGACAGGAAGGAAATACACCAAGGTGTTCATGACTATGTCTCTGGGCAGTAACACAATGGGTAATTTTTTTCTCCTTTGTCATTTGAGTTTCTTTAAGTATTCTATAATTAACATATATTAAAGGGAAAGAATTAAATTAACGTTGAAAGTCCATTCTAATGTTGGTTTAGAGCCTGATGATAATATTTATGTTATAGGTTTTCCACCTTTAAAGTTAATGTTGCAGTCTAGTATAACTGTGTGCACGGATGGTTTTAATATAATGCAGAAGCATTTTGTTTTTGTTGTTTCAGAAGATACATATTTAATGATGAGGGAAAGATTAGTAAATTCATGCAGTTAACTTCTCTTTATAAATTGCAACCGAAGATGTTTTTATACTCTTCAGGTGCATTCTCCAAGTATATAACTGGAATCTCTCTGGCATAGAAATGCAAATTTGATAAGATTAAACAATTATCCCTGAAATGTATTTTCAGTATTGTTTTATTGAGTGGTCATAAATGTCCTGTCATGTGAACTGCTATCCAAACAGTCGATTTGTTTCCCAGTATGAGTCTCCTTCCATACTGAAGATTTTTTAGGTGGCATTTGAATTCAGCTATAACACAGGTATGTGTTTTATGCCTATATAAGAGAAACAGATAGGGTTAAGACAGGGAGAAATTTGAGGCATTCATTAACCCAATTCTTACAATGAATATTTGGATTCCTTGCATAACATGCCCTTCAGTGCTCATTCACCCTTGACTTAGAAATTTCAAAGTAGGGGCTGGGAATGTGGCCCAAGCAGTAACGTGCTCGCCTGGCATGTGTGGGGCGCTGGGTTCGATCCTCAGCACCACATAAAAATGAAAACTGAAAAATAAACTTTAAAAAAAAGAAACTTCAAAGTAACTGAGAATTAAAATCAATTCTGCTTTTAGACAGCTATCATCACTAAGTAATTCTTCCTAACTTTATACATTATACAAAAACGTGCTTCATTGCAACTTGATGCTGCAGACCCCAGCTTTCCCATTTGTGACCTCTTCGATGTGGATATGAAAGTCATTTAGCTATTAGACTATAACTTTGTCTCCCAGATTTTCTCTTCTCCACAATAATCCACCCAATTTCTTCAGGTTTCTTCCTGGCCCAGCTTTGATTCTCAGCATTGCCTTGGACATATCCTTCTGCACATAGTCTAGTTAGCTGCAATGATGCCCARAACTAAATATAATGATTCAGGCTTGATTATACACCTGAATAAAACAGCTACCAGCCACCTTCTGCAAACATGATCCCTTTAACAGAGCCAGCAGTATGTTGGATTTGATTATCACACAGACAATCTCACACATCCTCATTCTGTGATCTGTCTTTCCATGTACAGCTGTTAATTTATATCTCACCAATCTATTCTCGGAAGGCTTATGTTTTGGATTGATACATAGTYTCTGGAAATATGGTGAATATTTGAATAAACAAATATGAGGTTTTATCTTATTCTCTATCAATTATTTTCTTGATTAGTGAGATTTTATTGGGTATTATTTGATGAATAGGTACTATAATTTGTACAGAGTATCTAAAAAGCCACATAGTTATAAATTCTTTC